CGCCTCATCGCCGCGCACATTCGTCTAAAAAGATGTATGGCAGGTTCAAGGCTTATTATCTTTGAAATGCCAGAAACGATAATTTGGCACGGCTCAGGAGCGTCATATCACAACAACAACAACAACAACAACAACAACAACAACAACAACAACAAACAGCCACCACAACCACCACCACAACTCCAACACCAACACCAACACCAACACCAACAACAGCATCAACAACAACACAACAACAACAACAACAACAACAACAACAACAACAACAACAACAACAACAACAACAACAACAACAACAGCTACGACGACGACGACGACAACACGTAACCAACAACAGTAGCAGTAACAACAACAACAACAACAACAACAACAACAACAACAATCATTTTACCCGAACGCTCAGTGTTCTCCCCAGTGCCAGGGTTTTCATGCGACGCCAGCCAATACCCCCACTTCGTGGGGGGGCAATGCAAGCTCTACCAAACATCCACACGACTCTCGGGAACCACCCACACCCAGCTTCCCGCCCTATGACGTCAGGACACTTCACTTCGTGGCGCGCGGACGATCGTGGATACTACACTGGCGTGGAGTACACACCCGCAGAGGTTGATCACTTGTTTGGCCTCTTGGGGGCTTATTGGATCCTCCCGGAGGACTCTTGGAGCCGCTTGGACGCCTCCTGGGGCCATCTTGGGGGCCTCTTGGAGCCAACTTGGAGCCTCTTTGGAACCTCTTGGGGGCCTCTTGGAGTCCTCTTGGGGCCTCTTGGGACCATCTTGGGCGCCTCTTGCGGCCTCATGGGCGCCTCTTGGGGCCATCTTGAGCGCCTCTTGGGGCCATCTTGGGTTTTAAAGATTCATGAAGAGCCCGCGGGTGGATTTTGATATTTTTCGGATGAGAAAGTCTTGCGTTTGCATATGTTTTCGGAACATCGCATCTTGAAATTATTGAAATCACATTATGTTTGGCAGGATTTCGGCACGCGCGCGCGGCGGCCGCGCGCATGTGCACTTCGTGTCATTTTTTGCAAGGGATGGTGGCCCTCGTAGGCTCGCAACCGTTGTTGCAGAAGGTCGAAGCACCTGAAAAGGTTCCTCGCAAAGGCCCTTTTAACAGAAATGTTTAAAATCTGGTGGGTTTCCTAGGAATCCGCAAGAGCGCGCGGAAGGACATTTTGACAATTTTTTCTGAGAAAACCATTGGGTTTTTGATGTTTTTATGTTAAAATCGCTACGAAACCTAAGGTTTTGGAAGGATTTCGTCTTGCGCGCACGAATGTCCACTTTACCTTATTTTTTGCAAGGGATTCTTGCAATTTGATCAAGTAAGAACAAGAATTTTCATTTTATAGTGTTTTTTGCAAGGGAAAACGGATTACAACAAAACAACCGGATCCGGACACAATCCACTTTTCTGAAGCTTTCGCTAGAAAATGAAGGAAATGAGGCTGCGGCCTAGGTTTTGGAGGGGGGTCGCGCACCAGGGGTCTCAACAATAATATTTCTTTAGAAGTAATAATGTTCAACAACAACAACAGCAATATCAACAACAACAGCAACAGCAGAAACAACAACAACTGCGATATCAGCAACAGAAACAGAAACAATAGCAACAACAACGCTGATTCGCAGCGTTGAAGGTCCAGCGATTGTGTTCTGGCACGGCTAGTGAGTTCCCTATGGTTGTCTTCTAGCGGCACTCTTCCCGCGGTGAGAAAAGTCCTTGTAGAGACCTATGAAGAATGAACTTGGAGGGAGGGACTGCTGTAACATCGTTGATGCGTCCTGGGTTGCGCTGGTCCTCCTCCTCCCCCTCGTCATCGTAGAACCATGAAGGGTGAGGAAAACTCAGGGGAAACGCCCGGCCCGCCCTGCTGAGAAGTCTGGTGCTGCGACGAGGAGAACGGATGGAGGATGAGAGTTGAAAGCATGGAAAAGTGACGAAGAAGGAGCGAGAAAGGAGGAGCAGGAGGAGGGGCCCCGATCGCCATAAAGAATTGCCCGAGACGGACCCAGCCCCTTCTCCGCGCGAGGCGAATAGTTGCATGAACGGTCCATACAAAAGAACACCGCCTGACGTGCTGCATCCATCTCCGTCGTGCCTCCCAGGAGCACACGCAAAGGGCAACATCTGTGCACTTCGCAGCTACCCAGGGAGCCGCGAGGTCTCGGCTGGATGCGCGCACACCTCCACTCCGCTGAACCTCCAAAAGCCCGCGAAAGTGGCGACAACTGCGCAGTTCGCAGCCACCCAGGGAGCCGCGAGGTCTCGGCTGGATGCGCGCACACCTCCACTCCGCTGAACTTCCCAGGAGCCAATGAAAGTGACGACAGTTGCGCGGTTCGCAGCCCCCTTGGGAGCAACGAGGTCCCAAATGGGTGAGCGTGGCCCCTGACACCGCTGGACCTCCCAGAAGCCCACGGAAATGGCGACAATTGCGCAGGTCGCAGCCACCCAGGGAGCCTCAAGGTCTCGGCTGGATGCGCCCAAACCTCCACTCCGCTGGACCTCCCAGGAGCCCACGAAAGTGTCCACGGTTGCGCAGTTGGCAGCATCCCAATATACAAGGTACGAGCAAGGGAGGCAAGGAAGCAGGAGTCAGGAGGAGAGGGGAGGAGAGGGGAGGAGAGGGGAGGCAGGAGGAAGGGAGGGAGCAGGAGGAGGAGGGGGAGACAGGAGGAAAGGATGGAGACCACAGTGCCCTATTGAAAACAAGAGCCCAACACAAGAGGGTTGGGGACAAGGGGTCCGTACGGAAACCGGGTCTGGACCCCAGGTCTTTCCCCCATGCCCAATATATCATGTGTGTTCTCTAGTCGGCGTGTCGACATTGAGCGAAAGGGGGGGGGGAGGGGGGGGGGGAGGTCTGGCTCTGGACCTCTGCTTAGCGCGGCTGTTTGCAACACTGCGTCCTATGAGGGCGACTCCACCTGCGTGAAACAGGCGCCAAAAACAGCCAAGATCTACTCCATGGGGGGGGGAGGGGAGGTGCGAGGGCCCGCGCCGATCGGCAAAACAATGGATGAGAAACCAATCACCATGCCGACCCGCTGTTCGGCCGTCCAGGGGCCTGGGGAGGACCGAGAGAGCCAGAAAACGCGGAAGGACCTCAAGACCAGTTTCGCTCAGGACCCCGCGGCCCTCGGCGGTCTTCAGAACGCGCGCCAGCGCCAGCGCGTGCCTGTCCACTGGAGCCCCTCCGTACGACACAGACTGCGCATCAAAGGCCAGCAGAGGCTGCGTGCCCTCGGCGGAGCTGAACGGGGTAAGCACACAACACTGGGCTGATACGCGTCCTGAGGGTTCTCGAGACTGGCCCTCGGGGTGTATGCTGACGGGAAGTTCGACGGCAGAGCAGCCGTGGCGACAAAGGGGGCCTCCCGGAGGCAAAGCGACAAACAGAAATATGACAGCAACGGCAAGTAGGGGCCACGATGGGGGCCACGATGAAGGGCCTCGGCGGGCCGCCGAATTCGCGGGCCCCGGCTCTCTCACTGGGTGTCAGAAGCATGAAACTGAACACTTACACACAAGCTGCCTAGAGAAAACAACAAAAACAAAAAGCAAGCAAAACCAAAAAAAATCGTGAGGCCCAAAAAAGCAGCCTGGAGACCCACATGAGACCCACAGAGGCCCCAAACGGGGCACCGGAGGCCTCACAAATGTCTCACAAGCACGGGCACAAAGGCGCCCCCCCTGCCCGATCCAAGTGAATCTCGAGGCGCACAGCGATTGAAAGGGTTCGGTGGATGTGGCGCAAGCCTGCACAAGTATCCGTCCGCTGTCCTCCGTGGGGCCGCGACCGTCCGCCTGGCCTGAAGCGGCGATACACCGCCGATCGATCGGCGACAGGACCCTGACGGCGAGACCGCACGGTCCTGTGCGGGGTGGGGTCTATCGGGCACCCATCGGCGATGAATGGGCGGTTGGGGGTCGATGTACAGTCAACGTGTATGATTAGGACGCACGTTCAGGATGCAAGCGCCTTGGAAGGCCCTGTCTATGCTTTTCGAGCGGGGCGCAGCCAGCGAAAGTGGCAAGGACTCGGCCGAAGCGGGGGGAAGCAAAGATAACCTTGGAAAGTCGCTCATCCTTACTATCTGTGCTAACTACTTTCCATCCCCCCTAACATTACCCCTGAGTGGCTTCCGGGTCGTGACCCGGCTCTCCAGAGGCCGCTCGGGACGATCTGGGCCACCCCAGACGCCTCTCGGCGCCGCGCGGCCGCTGGGAGGCACCCCGGGGCTTGGAAACCGCCGGGAACGAACGAGAACGCCCGACAAGCTCGAACCTCGAGCCTCGCCCCTGACGCCCCGGGCCTTCCCAGCCAAGTCCGCACGACACTCAGACTAATTACCACGCGATGCTGCCACGACGCCAGGGCTCCCGCCATCGCCTCAGTGGCAGTGCCGGCAACCCCAGGGCTGGACCTAAACGCACTTGTCGCCCCCCGGGGCCAGCCCCCACCTGCTGTCGCTCCTGGCAGCACCTCGAGCCTCGCACCTGTCGCCCCCCGGGGCCAGCCCCCACCTGCTGTCGCTCCTGGCAAGACCTCGAGCCTCGCACTCCTCGCCCCCCAAGCACGGCCCCCACCCACTGTCGCTCCTGGCAGGACCTCGAGCCTCGCACCTCTCGCCCCCCGAGCCCATGCCGATAGGGGGCCACATGCAAACCCTACCCCTAACCCCCACGATTTCTGAGGGGGAGGGTGGGGGGTCACTTCGTTCGGAACTCACGAGCGAAGGGAACCCCACCCTCCCCCTGAAAAATCGTGGGGGATAGGGGAAGGACCTCGAGCCTCGCGCCTCTCGCCCCCCGAGCACGGCCCCCACCTGCTGCCGCTCCTGGCTGGACCTCGAGCCTCGCACCTCTCGCCCCCCGAGCACGGCCCCCGCCTGCCGTCGCTCCCGGCAGGACCCCCCTCGGCGGGCGCCGCCTCGGCGGAAGCAACACCTGCCGAGGGCCTGGCTGCGGGAGCGGTCCACCGCGCCGGCGGT